AACAACCCCAGACGCGAAAACAACTCGAAAGGCGAATGATCTTATTTGTTATCATTCATTCTAGGTGGAAAATCGTCTACTTTATCTGGCTCGACTGGCAGAAGTTCTTCTTCGTTCCAGCCTCAGAGGGACTGACTCTCTTTGGCTTTGGCTCAAGAGAAAGAAGACGCATCCATCTCGATCTCAATTCTAGACTGGAAAGCCCTATTCTTTTTAGACTCATGACTGCGCACTTGATAAACTCGACGAAACCTGAAAGAGAAAAAAAAAGTATTAAATGAAGTCGGATCCGAACTAAAATCCTTTTTCAAAAGTCCTGTTTTTGGCTGAAATGGATGTTCGAACAGGGGAGCTCTTCCAAAACGATCAAAATGATCGAAAGTCGTTGTTTGAGGTCCGGAGTTCGCCCTAACACCCGCGTGTGACAGATGACTTCTCCCCTATGAGATTGGTTACCAGAATCATAGAATGCGCGTAAACAGATAAAAAAGATAGCCAGGGAATGGACGTTCTCAGCTTCCAGAAGTGCCCGGCCCGGTGATCCCTGTCTGTGATTCAGTCCGCCCTAGGTTGACAGATTGATTGGGTTCAGTCCCGCTCAGTGATGTGGCTTCCTTTTTCCAATCTGTTCATTTAGCTTGATTGAACAACACAAGCTTGAGAGTAAAGGAGTTAGATCTCAGTTCATTTGCTTCTATTACGATTACTAGTTGATCGGATCGACTGATGGTGACATCTTCAACAGATTTATTGATCGACTTGTGTGAGACTAGCCAATCAAGTAAATCAACCGAAGAACGGGACTATAGATAAAGAAGGGTTGCTGTCGGAAACCAACTAAAGATTTCACCGTCCAGCCAGTGGGAACTCTAATCAACTGGAATTCCCAGGCAGGCAAGCCAAGCAAGGACAGACAGCTAGGACTGAATGGGTAGGAGTGAGCGGGCTAAGCTTGAAGGCGCTTCTTCTGTGTTTAGGTTTTTTTGCTCCTAGGCCAGGGCAAGAGCAGAGGATAAGCAGCAACCATTGATCTTCCGTCAGGAGACTCCTCTTAAGAAAAGCTTGGATCGCAGGAGCATTCTCGCAACATGCATATAAAGAAAGGTAGGTTTTTATCTTATTATTGTAACACTTTGTGAGCTTAGCGATGTCTGGTTCTTGACAAGAATGAGTGCCCACCTCTTTCTTTCCAGGAGTTTTCTATCTTTCGTGTGATGCGGCGGAGAGGAGCTTTTAAATGAGGGATTCCGTTCTCGTCAATAGATAGGAGGATGCCCAAAGAAGGCTCGCTCCTTCGAGTCAAGATTGTTTTTGTAATCGAAAGCTTTCGATTACAAAAACAATCTTGACTCGAAGGAGCGAGCCTTCTTTGGGCATCCTCCTATCTATTGACGAGAACGGAATCCCTCATTTAAAAGCTCCTCTCCGCCGCATCACACGAAAGATAGAAAACTCCTGGAAAGAAAGAGGTGGGCACTCATTCTTGTCAAGAACCAGACATCGCTAAGCTCACAAAGTGTTACCAAAAAAAAAAAAAAAAAAAAAAAAAAAAAAAAAAAAAAAAAAAAAAAAAAAAAAAAAAACCTCCTTCCTCAATTAGTCGAAACATATGTTATCCAGAACCCAAATCCAATTTCCAAGAAATTTCGTCAATCATTCAATAATCTAGCAATCCCAGAAAGTACAATAAATAAATAGACAAATCATCAAACTGATCGAGACAGAATTTAAGTTCGATTTGAATGGTTGACCAGAAAAATCAGAGAAAATCGACATGAAAAGAAAAGAATAAGAGTATACCCCATGGGAGGAGTTCGAGCCAAGCCATTGTTGAGTTGAAGAAGACCATACTTGGAAGTATCAAAGATATTGGAACTGGGTTTTTCATGGTGGTTCTGCAAGAGAGGACGTGCTTGGATTGCAAGAGCAATCGATAGATGCAGAATCAGTGTGTAGTATAGAGTCTCCATGCATTTCATCCTTGCCATTAGTCTTCTCTCACTCGCTTGCTCTCAGAACAATTAAAGACATACATACATATGAGGAATTACAACAGATAAAGACAAGGTTGGGGTGGGGACGATTAGTCTAAAGCTGTATATAAATAAAATAAGGGGAACTTACTAAGTTCAAAATTCAGTTAATCTCAAAATAAAATATTTGTACTAATTAGTCTAATATATTTTTAATTGTTATCAAATTTTTTTTTTTTTTTAATTTACAGACACTGTTCATATCTTACTACCGTCGGACTGAATGTTCAACATCGCCGGAGACTCGTCGGAATGTTTAAAGCATGTTATGAAACTGTAAAATTTTACAGTTCTAAAAAATGTTATAAAACTGCAAAATTTTACAGTTTTAAACCATGATTCATTCCAGCACCAAAAAAAAAATTTGAAACTGCAAAATTTTACAGTTTTCACCGTCTGTAACTAAAACTCGAAAATTACTTGTTCAGAATTCGAAAATTTTCTCATTACAAATTTGTGTGATATCTGTACAAATCTGAGTCATTACAGATCTGTTTCAATGATATTATAGATCTATTTCATCATCAACAACAACAACCATAGATCAACAACTATCCCAAAAAAAATCTGTAAATAGAGAGAGAAAGAGAGAGAAATTGACAAAGATATATATACAAATCTGTTCAATCTAAGCACAGATCTGAGGATGAGCGTCTTCTTATTCTTATTCTTCATCGTCTTCTTGTTCTTGTTCTTCATCGGCTTCTTGTTTGACTTTAGGACTGAGATTAGGGTTCGAGGAGGAGGCGTAAAGAGGGAAGCAAAAAGCAGAGAGAGAGGGGAAAGGACTTTTGGGTGTACTCAAAAAGTTATGGGATTAAATGGTGTCTACATGTTCCACATGGGACCTATGGGTAATTTCCCCATCACTTTTTCATATATCAGTGTCTCCACAATTCTCCATAGAGATTCACACCTCTGTTTTCTATATTATTATGTGACTAAATACAAACATACTTAGTCCTTGTATAAATTATCTTTCTTGCATACACATCGCACAATTGAAAAACATAAATACCATTCATTCCATAACTCAAGTAAAAGATGGGAAGAAAAAACAAAATTACAAAGTTTACCATCATAGATGATGATATTCTTGCTAATAGTACTGAAACTATGAAAGAGACAAGCAATGAGGATTCATCACAATTGCAAGGTAAAAAAAAAATCATTGTATTTGAAAATTCTTTCGACTTAAAAATCAATATCAATTCATTAAATCTTAAATTGTTTTGCAAGAGTAATGCAAAAAAACGAAATTGACTCAAAAGATTTTATCCTCATCAATGAACTTTGACCTCTTGATAGAGACTGAACAATAAAAGCAATTGTTCTCAGAAGAGGGATCATTGAACATTGATCTCGTTTGGTGTAACTGTTAAAATAGATTATAGATTATAACTTAACAGATTATAAATTATGACTTTAATCAGAAGCTGTTAATCTGTTTGGTGTAGTTGTTGGATTATAGATTTAAGTTGTTGAATAGTGTTTGTTAAATAAGTTGTGAAGTAACTTTTTCAATTAACTTTTATTTTTTGTTATTCATTACTTGTCTACATTTCTCATAAATAATAATAATAATAATAATAATCTATAGTCCATTTGGGTTTTTTTTTTTTTTTTTATTTTTAAAAAATAAAAAAAATCTAAGAGTATAATCTTAAATTAATATGTCCACAGCATAGATTAATAATCAGAAGTAAGGGGTAAGCAACTTCTCAGAATCAACTTTTTCGAATCAAAATAAATTGTTAGAATCAGAACATATTTGAAATAAGTTTAATCAAACAGTTTAAAATAACTTTTCAAAAGCTAAAAGTTATAAATTGACTAAAAAAACCCAAACAAACACCCCCATTATAGCACTTTAATGCTGTTTTTGGTTGGGGGATTTGGGTAGGGATTTGGAAAGGGAAATGAAAAAGGTAGCTGAAATGTGAATAAAACCCTTTCCCTTTCCAAATTCCTACCCAAATCCCCCAACCAATCACAACATAAAAGGATCAGGAACAACGTAGAAAATTATATTAATGGATGAACAAATATATCAACGATCAAATATTCAAAAATTCTTACACTTTGACTTTTAAACTGTTAAACATAAACATTAAACATTAATAAAAAAAATAAAAAAATGGTTCAAAAATTAAAACTACTACAAAACTTAAAAAAAAAAAAAAAAACCACAAAAAAAATATATATATAAACCTCCACTAATATATGCAAATAACTATAAAAAAAAGGACCGTGCTGGGGAGCTCGAGACATTTAAGCCCCAATGAATATATGCAAATAACTATAAAAAAAAGGACCGTGCTGGGGAGCTCGAAAGCTCCCCCCCGAATCCCCCTAATTCTGCGACGACGCCGTTTTTGATTTTTTTTTTTTTATTTGAAGGAAGATCATAGAAGGAAGAAGAAGAAGAGAAGAAGAAGAATGGAGGAAGAAGGAGGAGGAGGAGGAGGAGGAGGAAGGACTGGAGGGGGCCAACAGGACTGGAGGAGGAGGAGGTGCGGGGGCTGCGAGGCAGAGGCTGCGACGACAATCGGCGGAGGCGGGGCTGCGACGATCGGGCAGAGGCGACGGCGGAGGGCTGCGACGACCTGCCTCCTCTCTCTTTCTCTTTCTTTCTCTCTCTCCATCTCCTTCTCCTCTCCCTTTGTTTCAGCCTGCATGACGAAGAAGACGAAGAAAAAAAAAAAATCGAATGCCCAAAACGACGTCGTTTTAGGCATTCGGGGGATTGGGAGAGAAGATTCGAGCTCTGAAATATTATCCCAAAAAAAAATACTGTGCTCACATAATGAAAACAAGATCCACAATAAACCCACTAGATGGGAGCATCTATTTACACACAGACATCTCTCTCTATACACATCCTCCACACACAACTCTCTAACACACCCTCTCATTAAGTGTGTGAGAAAAGAGGATATAGTGTGTGCAAATAGAAGCTCCCCCACTAGATCCATACACCTCTCAAATTCAAATGAGATAACGGAGAGAATTTCATCATTTGTTTCAAAATCACTGATTTTTCAACCTTCCTCACAAGCACACATCCCAAGAAAAGTTCCACAGTCACTTCTCTCGTTACCAAATTTTGAAAAAAAGAAAAAGAAACACATAAAAATAAAGAAAACCAATTTTCCATTGGAGCTTCATCAATGAGAAAAATCCAAGCCAACCCTGCACCAAAACCCTAGAAATAAAATGACTTCAAAAAAGGAAGCCCTATTCATAGCATCACTCATCATCCTCTGGTACTCTGCAAACATTGGTGTTCTCCTCCTCAACAAATTCTTGCTCTCCAGTTATGGGTTTGGCTTCCCAATCTTCCTCACAATGTGCCACATGTCAGCTTGTGCTGTCCTCAGCTACATCTCCATTGTCTTCCTCAAAATTGTCCCACTCCAGAGAATCAAATCTAGGTCTCAGTTCTTGAGGATTGCTACTCTGAGCATTGTGTTTTGTGGGTCTGTTGTTGGTGGCAACATCTCTCTCAGCTACCTCCCTGTGTCCTTCAATCAGGCTGTTGGTGCAACGACGCCGTTTTTCACGGCTGTGTTTGCTTATCTGATGACCTTCAAGAGAGAGGCTTGGGTCACTTATGCTGCTCTTGTACCAGTTGTTACTGGTGTTGTGATTGCAAGTGGGGTATGTTTTATATTAATTTCTTAATATTACTAGCTTCTTATAGTTTTAGCTGATTTTATTTGTGAATGTTAGTACAAATTTAAATGGTAATTGAATTTGATTGTTTCTATGCATACAAGTTAATAATTTTTCAGTGGGTATTGTTTAATGAGTTGGTTTGATGCTGATCTATATATTGTACTATTTGTTATGTAATTTGCCACTTTATTTTGAGAATATTTTACTCTTAACATTTGTGTGACAGTTGACAATCTAGATCTCTAATTTTGTTATTTCTATAGTTTTCTTCCTCCCAAAAGTTCTAATATATAGTTTGGTAATATCAGTGCGTTTTGTTTGAGTTTTTTGGATTAAATTTTTTTGAAAATTGAGTATTTTGGTTTTTTTTTTTATGAATATTTTTAAAATTTTAAACATTTTTTTTTACTTTTTTAGATGCACCTTATTTAGATATATCTAAAAAAATAAAAAATTTGTGAAAAAATATTTTAAAAAATTAATAAATATATAAAAATACAAAAAAAGATACAAATTATCCTCTTTGATGCACCTTATTTAGATGTATCTAAAAAGTAAAAAATTTGTGAAAAAATATTTTAAAAAATTAATAAATACATAAAAATACAAAAAAAAGGTACTGAATTCTTGTATTTTTTTTTTTTATATTTTTGGTATTTAGTGAATTTTTAAAAGGTTTTTTTAACAATTTTTTTTACTTTTTAAATATATTTATGTTAGGTATGTCTAAAAAGTAAAAAAAAAAATTGCTTAAAATATTAAAAAAAATTCAGTAAAAACAAAAAAATACAGAAAACAAGAAAGTATAATTTTTTGAAAAGTTTTTTTTCCCCACAATAAGTATGTATTTGTCTTTGTGTTCCTGACATAGGAAAAAAAAAGAAAAAGAAAAACTGAGTTATGATGAAAAATTGCAGACAAAATGATTACACAATGTAAATTAGAAAATCTAGGTCAATGCCCTCAAGATGAATTTATAAGTCGCATTTGGGCATATTAAATGGTTTGAACTGTCAGTGGTGTTTCAAATCACTTTCTATTCGAAGTACTAATTACATTTTTCATTTTTTTTGAATTTTAATTTGAAATCCTGTTCATTTAGGATTTCCATGAAAATGTGAGGTACTTCAATGAAAGAAAAAATAGTCTCAATGTTGAGATATAATTGATTTCAACGATGTGCTAACATTTGAATGAACATAAGATGCAATGATGGCAAATGCGTTGTTGGCTACATAATAACTGAACTTGAGGATCACTGAACTGAACTACTACTCTTTTTCTTTTTTCTTTTTTTTGGAATAATTTGAATTAATCATTTAATAGAAATGTAAAAGCAGGTTCAATTGCTAAAAGGATCAACGAATCCGAACAGCTCTGGGGACAAAAAAGAAGTTCTTTTAAGTGTTAACTTTTCCGTGTATGTGAAGATGAATTGTTTTATTCGAGTCTATTCCAAGTGTATCTCTAGATTCCCTACACTTAATCTTTAGACGTTTGGTTGGGTTATAAATATTTACTTTCTACACGTGCAGCACATATTGACATGTATAGGTCTAAGCTCCCTTGTTCATGTTATTTGTTGTTGCCAACTGGTGATTATTAAGAGTGTTTGTCCTATCAATTAGCATCTGAATGGGTGTTGCTGGCTCAATTAGATTGATTTGTAGGGTAGGACTACACTACTAACTCTTTTTTGTCATTTGGTTATAATAGTTTCTCTTCGGCTGGTAAAGAAAATCAAATTCACTTGTCCAAAAAAGGAAAAAAATAAAAAAAGGAACAGAAATTCAGATTATTTGTGTTGAGAATTCTCATTGCTTTTGGATTCTTACCACTGTTCACAATCTTGCTTTTTGAGTGAATTAACTATTTGTTTTTGGCTTCAATTGAGTTTAAAATTTGAACATTTATGATTGGTGGCAGGGTGAGCCAAGCTTTCACTTGTATGGATTTATTATGTGCGTAAGTGCAACTGCTGCAAGGGCCTTCAAGTCTGTTTTACAGGGTATCTTACTATCTTCTGAAGGGTAAATGCCTTATTGCTTTCATTTATTAGCAAATCATCTGAGTTATTGCTATCTTCATACATGTACAGAATTTTCGTTGTCTATTTTCTATGGTTTTTGTTGCTTGCAGAAGATTTGTCTTATTTGGAAAATTTGTTGCAAAATGATGCTATGTAGTGGTCACATTAGTCAAAATGTACTAGTATCTATAAAGGATAAATACAATGAGGGTAAAAGGGTTTTTGGCGTTCTGTAGGCTTATTGACAGGAATTAGGCCAAGGAGGGAGTACATTCCTTAATAATATTTTTTGTGTTGGCCATCCTGATGATATTAAGCCTGTTGCAAAGCCCGGATAAGTTAATAGCTGAGAACCATCAGATTCCATAGTACCTGAGTTCAAATGAGACCTGTTACTGATTTTAACTTAAATTTCAGAAGTTAATTTTCTTTTTATGAGAGAGCTGATGTGAATGATATTGCTTCTTTGTTAATAGTCAGTGTACAAACTCCAGAAAGCACGAATCCTAACTATAGAATTTGGTTAAATTGGTATATTGATAAATATTTTAAATAAAGAATGCAATGATTTCTGAAAGGTTAGGAAATAATTTGTCTTTAATTATAATGTAAACCTGTAGAATCTAAAATAAATTTTCTTCGTACTCATTTTCCAAAACCTGCATTTGCACTGAAATGAAAGTTAATATGGAAATAGACTAGTGTGGTAAAGAAAAGAAGTTTTGTAGGTGTTCATTGAGCGAATTACAGAACAGAAACTGTTAAATGATAAAGAAATAAAGAGCGAGAATGCACCTCTACCCCCATGCTTCAAAACCCCTTCCCCTATCCCCTTAAAAGAAGGAAAGAGGAAAAGGAAAGAAAGCAAGATGAATGTTAAGAATGTTCTGTGACTCAAAAGCATTTTCAACCTTTCACAATGCTGTTGGGCCTAAGAAAGGGGCGTTCTTCTTATGACATCTAAATTAGACCCATGATATACATGTATAAGGAACATTCATCATTTCATATTTACAAGGAGAGTCATGGACACAGCAGGAGACATCATTCACTGGAAAGTTATAGTTCGAGTTGAATTCTCTGGCATTGTGTGTTGTGAGGAACACCTTGTTGCTTTTGGCTTCTGACTCTAACGAGCCTCATTTTTTCAAGGGATTTCAAAATTGAAAAGACTCAAAAATCAATTAGCCGTCAGTGTTGCTCATACTGCATTTGTTGCTAGAATGTCCTCCACTGCAAGAATTGGAACTCTGACCTACCTCATCATTTCAAATGCCTTTGCCCCGGTGCTTGGCTAGTGAAACAGAAGACATAAGAAAGCTTGTTTCTCTCCATGTCTTGCTGGATACTTTGCTACTTCTCCTTCACTCTTAAATTGTATCTTTTATAGAAAATTATTCACTCCGTTTGTTTTTAATTTTCAGAATTCACTTTTAAGAAAATATATTTTTTTGTTTTTCGTATTTTTTCTTTTCACCGAATTTTCTTAATATTTTAAGCAATTTTTTTAATTTTTAGACACACCTAACATAAATACACTTAAAAGTATAATATTTGTGAAAAAAGTCTTTAAAAGTTTCACTAAATACAAAAATTGAAAAAAAAATACGAGAATTCAGTACATTTTTTGTATATTTATTTGTTTATTAACTTTTTAAAATATTTTACTATTTAGATATATCTAAGTAAGGTGCATCTAAAAAAGTAAAAAAATTTCTTAAAATTTTAAAAATATTCACTAAAAATAAAAAAAAAAACACGAAAAACAAAAAAACTTAATTTCTAGAAAACTGAATTCAGAAAACTGAAACCAAACACACTGATTAATTTTTTTACATTTCCTTTGGCATGTCAATGAGTAAAGCTGAAGATACGTGATAATTTCTATTTTTCTGTTCAATATACTAGTTCTTTGCTAGTGCATGATGTTTATCATAAAATGATGCTTTATTCTTTGATCTCTTTCTGTGAGCTCAGGTGACTTTTGCTCTGAATTTGCTTGTCATGCTGGATAATATAGATATTGTTATGTTATTTCTCTTATGCAAAGTTGTTTTTTTCATATAGCTGGAGAAAGGAACTGGAAAATTTGTTGTCTGACAGATCGTTTACATTGGATGCTTAATATAGAGTCCAGAAGTTTCTCCTTTCTTTTCCTCCGTTTCTTTCAATTCAAATGGAGCATCTTATATCTGGGAAGCTTCTAGTATCCACTTGGCATTAAAGCTAACTTTCTCTTATTGTTTCAGGGAGATGTTGAACTCCATGAATTTGTTGCTGTATATGTCCCCAATTGCTGTTCTAGTTTTATTGCCTGCAACACTTTTAATGGAGCCAGATGTGTTAGATGTCACTCTTTCGCTTGGAATGAAACACAGATTAATGTGGCTACTTCTTTCCATTAATTCAGTGGCAGCTTATTTGGCCAACTTGTCCAACTTCTTGGTGACTAAGCATACAAGTGCTCTAACACTCCAGGTTCAATTTCTCTCTCTCTCTCTCCCCCATAGGGTAATGGTGTCACAAATTTCTTGCTAAAATTGTTTGTTTCACAATAAATTACTTCGTCAAAGAAACATATTACAAATTTAGTTTTATTAAGCTCACGGTTGTTGAAAACAGTGTATCATTGTAGCATTACATTCCAAGATTCTGATCACCTAAATGTCCTCCCTACATAATAGGAGTGAGGTCATTTTGTTCTCCCTACAATTTTTTGGTACAATCCATATACCTGAATGGATTCATTTAAAAAATAAACCTGTCACCACCAAATAATGTTAGAGATCAATCTCAAGAATATTATAAAAGAAGGTGCGATAATTGTATTGGGCTTGTGTGTAAAATGTTAGGTTCATCTAATTCTCATACCCAAAAACACTAGGACATGGTTCAATTTAAAATTTCTTGAATATTATCAATTATTTACACTAAGATGGTGTTTACAAACCAGCATAAAACTTTTTATCCGTAAAATGAGTGATGAAGATCATGGAAAGAAGAAAAAGAGCAAATTTGGAATTTCACATTAAGCACATTAGAGTATCTCCAATGGTGCTTGCTATATTAGCATTGTCATTGCTATAATATGGCAATTTTGCCAAATTATAGCAATAGTGCTCCAATGGTGCAAAGCTATTTTAGCAAATCTTAACCGACTTTTTCTCCAATTTTGTAGGTGATGTTTGGATAAAGGTTTTTGAATATATTTTTTATTGTTTATTTTTTATCTTTATGATTTTTTTAAAAAAAAATTCAAAAAAAATTAAATATTTGCGGTTTACCCGATTTCTTTTATAAAAAAAAATTAAATATATATAAATATAAACATAATTCACCTTACCATTCACATACCACTACAAAATTAAAAAACAAAAATTTACCTATATATATAATTTTACATATATATATAAAATTGTACATATATATATATAATTCACTCAATCCCTATATAATTGAGTGGGGATAATTGAGTGGGTTCCAAATCTTTCAATGCTCCATCCATACCTCTCTCTCTCTCCCTCTCTTTCTTTCCTTTGTTTTCTTGTTATTCTTTCTCTCTCTCTCTCTCTCTCTCAGCCTAATCTCTTATCCCTTAAACACCTTCTCTCCCTCTGTATCGCACTCGCCCATCCACCCCCCTCTCTCTGTCTTTCTACGCAAGAGGCAGTCCTCTTCACGACTTCCCTCTCGATTCTCACCTTCTCTCTCCACAAAAATCTCAAGAAAACAAAGCAACAACCAAGATCTAACTCTATCTCCATCTTGATCCAATCTCGGAAAATCCAAAACCCTCCCAAATAGAAACCCCAAGTAAACCCTAAATCGAGAGAGGTTGAAACCCTAAATTGAAGATGAAAAAGAACCCGAAACTCCAAGTTAAACCTTGCACGAAGATGAAATCGTCTGAAATCCATCAAGCATCTTGAAATCCAAGTAATTATTGTTTAAAATTTGCTTCAGATTTATTAAGATTTGCTTGAGATTTGTTGAGATTGCTTGAAATTTATTTGAGATTGCTTCAAATTTGATTGAAATTTCTTGATTGTTGTTGTTGTTGACTGATTTTGTTTAGAAAAAAAAAATTTGGTGAATTTTTAAACAAAAAAATTTAGTAATTACCAAATCGTTTAAAAATTTTGGTGATTTCTATTTTTTTTCTTTTAAAAAAGGGTGAATTTTGTTTTAAAAAAAAATTGATCTATTTTTGGGAGGTTTTTCTCGGAAAGGATGAGAAAGGGAAGGAAGGAGGAAGGAAGGGAGGGAATGAAGGAAAGTCGTTGGTTTTGGGTGAGCTGGCAGATTTGGCAGCTGCCAAAATTGCTGCCAAATTTGACACATGGTTTGGCAAATGCCAAATTTGGTAGCTGCTATACCATGCCATTGGAGAACCTATTTCTGCCAAGCCTGCCATATTATGGCTTTGACAGCCCTTTTAGAAAACCATTGGAGATGCTCTTAGGGCATCAAGAATTAAATATTTAGAATAATTTCAAGTCTTCATGTCATTATAGTAGGTTTTAGTAATTAAGGGTATAATGGTAATTCTAATAATTGCTGGACATGGGTTGTAGGGGTCGCTCGTGTTTTATTTTGGGTCAAGTTATTAAATGAGTCATTATATATGTTTTTTATTATATCTAGAATAATCTTAGTGGTCAAAAATCCAAGTTTTCTATTTTGATATTGAAGTAGAATTAAAAATCATTAAATTTTCCTATTATGATTGAAGTAGAATTGGAAATCATTAATTGGTCTAGAATATTAGCAGTTGCTAAATATTTTTAGTTTCTAAATTTGAGTAATAGTCTTTATAGAATTAGGAGAGCCTTTGGCCTATAAATATGTATGTAATTTCAATGATTCAGGGGAAGAGTTATTATTATGAAAATTTAAGATTAAATTTGTGTGATCGGACTATCCCTTGTGAGGGTGAAACACCTCTCTCTCTCTCTCTCTCTCCAACAAGATTATTGTTCACGTCATTGTTCATAGTACTCAGAACAACCACTCGATAGCCCCTAAACACTTGTATTTTCATTCCCAAAACCCTACCTTTTTACAAACCCTTAAACTGCTATTTTTTAAAAAACTTTTGCAACCACAAAATCTCACCAAATCTAGCCCTGTAAGTCTATTATTGCTGTTGCCAGTATACTTAAACCGGGTTACTTGTAGGAAAGTAATCCGTACTCGTCCTACATCATTTTGGTATTAGTGCTTCAAGATCCTACCTTGTTCCTTACCAATCTTTTGATGAAATTTCTTTCTTTATTACAATGTTGACAAGCATTGAATTAAATTGAAAGTTTGAAGCCTCGTCAACAAAGTATAGAGCTACTAAGAAAGATTTTATGATATCAAATGAGGATTTTGCGATCACTAAGGATGATGTTGTAACAATAAAGAGTGATGTGCATACTATCCAGACAACTTTGAATGGATTGAAAGCTTCCATGGAAATGTTGTTGGCTGTTGTTTTAGAGAAGACTAATATCCAAGAGCAAAAGGATGATAGTGTTGAAGATTTTGAAGAAACTATGAAAAAGCAAGATGAAGAGGTTACCAATATTGAAGAAACGAAGGCAAAAATTAATTTGCTTACTAAAGAAAGCATGAAAGATCATCATGATCATGGTTCTAAAGCCAAGAAAGCCAAAGAAAATGATGAGCATGCCACTGAACTTTCTGTTCTTCACAAGAAAAATAAAATTCACATTGAGTTTATTATTCCTAATAAGTTCGATGCGGGACAATTGAGTGATGACAACATTAAACTTTTTGATTTTCTCATCGTTCGTTCAAAACAATCAATTTGAATGGTTGCAAGTACAAAGATTCCATTATCCTTATACTTCAACCTTATAGAACTCGAAGACAAGTTTTTTCAAATGCAAGGGAGAATGATGAAGATCATGAAAAGAAGAAAAAGAGCAAATTTAGGATTTCATATTAAGCACATTTAGGGCATCAAGAATTAAGGATTTGGAATAATTTTAAGTCTTTATATCATTATAGTAGGTTTTAGTAATTAAGGGTATAATGTTAATTCTAATAATTATTGGACATGGGTTGTAGGGGTCGCCCATGGGTTTTATTTTGGGTCAAGTTATTAAATGGGTCATTATATGTGTTTTGTTATATCTAGAATAATCTTAGTGGTCAAAAGTTCAAGTTTCCTATTTTGGTATTGAAGTAGAATTAGAAGTTATTAAATTTTCCTATTATGATTGAAGTAGAATTGGAAGTCAATAGTTGGTCTAGAATATTAGTAGTTGTTCAATATTTTTAGTTTCTAAATTTGAGTAATAGTCCTCAGAATTAGGAGAGTCTTTAGTATATAAATATATGTGTAATCTTAATGATTCACGAGAAGAGTTATTATTATGAAAATCTGAAATTGTGTTTGTGGGTGTTTGGGAAATGGGTTTTTATGTAGGTTTTTTTAGTTGTAGGATATTATTGGAGAAATTTTTTTTGTGTTTAAGAAGATAGTTGGGTTTTTTTATGGTTGGATGTGATGTTTGTGTGAGAAAAAGTGAAATGATTATGGGGTTGGATGTGATATTTTGTTTGGATGTGTTTTTTTTGGTTTTGCAAAAAGTTTGTCCTTTTGTGAAAAAATCAAAAAAAACCCAAGTCCCAAACTTCCCAAACGCCACCTTTGTGTGATTGGCCTATCCCTTGTGAGAGTGAAACACCTCTCTCTCTCTCTCTCTCTCCCTCCAGCAAGATTAATGTTCATGTCATTGTTCACGATGCTCAGAACAGCCACCGGACAGCCCCTAAACACTTGTGTTTTCATTCCCAAAACCCTACCCTTTTTAAATATTTTTACAGCCACAAAATCTCACCAAATCCAGCCCTACAAGTCTATTATTGCTGCTGCCAGTATATTTAAACCGGACTCATTACTTGTAGGAAAGTAATCCCAACTTGTCCAACATCAAGTGGGTCATGCATAGTTCCATAGCAAACTCTACTATTTTGGAACATATTTGTTTGGTGCATGTCTAACTAGATATGTTGGACACATATCTGTAGACACCCCATTTTTGACCGCCCTTAAGACTTGGGCACCACTGATGTTTTACTTGGTGGAGAAAGGTGTGCAGGGCAAATGTTCAGTTTCTTCGGCAAGGAGAGAAGCAAATCCTTCAGAACACTTTGTTTAGGGGTTTGGAGTTGAAGAAGAGAGGAAAGGAGAGGAGAAAACTAGTTTGGGAGAAGTTCGGCATGAATCCGGGTAGAAGCGAGTCGAGTAGCCCTCGCTAAATCGGGCTTATCTGTCTGTACACTTGAAGTTTAGCTATGGGGCCACCACCGTTGGAAAGCTTACTTCCGGGGCTTCATTTTGCACTCAAGAATCCCTTAAAGCCAAGTCCGGGTGGGGGAGATATGAGCAGCTGAAGTTGGGCATCATCCCGGTTGGATTGAATCTGCGCGGCTTCACCAAAATGGGCATAACTTTTTCCACAGGAGGAATTTTAATGCAAGGTTTGCGCCATTAGAAAGCTAACTTCCGGGGCTTCAATCTGGACATCCACCGGCACTTTTTGACCTCATCAGCCACCCATCGGCACTCTATTTATCCGACCGGCCAGTATAAATTGCAGGTCGGCAATATATTGTGCCGACCGGCCATTTATTTTGCCGATGACCTCCTTTCATGGCCGATATGACCCTTTTGCACCCCTCAAGCATGGTGCATGCCAACTGTGCCAGCTATTCTCCATTCAAACCCTCTGTCCGAGATTTTGCCTTTT